CCAGATGGGCCTTTACAGGCCTCAGCCATGTAGCTATAGATGTTGGCTCCCAACAGTTAATAATAATGTTATGATATCTAACATTTTTGAAGCACCTATTCTGTGCTCCATATACATGTACATGCTTTCATGTGTTAACATGTTTATTTCTCACCTCAACTTGTCAGATATATTATATTGTCACCATCATTGAACAAGTGAGGAAACTGAGACTCAGAAAGGTGAGTTAATGTACTTAAGTTCTGAGTTTGTGTTCACAGATTTTTTTTTTTTTTGAGTTGGAGTCTCACTCTGTCGCCCAGACTGGAGTGCAGTGGCCGCTCCCGGCCACTGCAGCCTCAACCTGCTGGGCTCCAGTGATCCTTCTGCCTCAGCCTTCCAAGTAGCTGGAATTACAGGTACGCGCTACCATGCCCGGCTGATTTTTTTGACTTATTGTAGAGATGAAGTCTTGCCAAGTTGCCCAGGAGGGTCTCGAACCCTCGGGCTTAGGTAATCCACTCACCTCGGCCTCCCAAAGCGCGGGATTACAGGCTGAACTACCGAACCCGGCCCACAGATTTATTTTAAAATAAGTGATTAAAGGGGATACATTGGTGAAGACATTATCTTGAGGTGACATCTACAGCATGCCTGGATTTAGGCCCTTCAACATAGCATAAAGTCAACTCAAGCTATCTCCACTGAACAGGGTTAAAAACTTATTAATAACAATTTTTTTCCAAGAATTTCTCACAGCATACTTAAAGTGAGCTTGAAACCTGTCTGAAAATCTCATTATCATGAGATAAAGGAGAGTGAGAAATACTTTTTCATATTGAAAATGTAATAAAAACAAAACCTCTTCCATATTCATTTTTCAATATTAAATTTGGTGATTTTTAAGTGATTTCTAATAATTTTAAATCTCCTTTTTACCATCATAACCTAGAAGTTAGAATATTTCTTAGTTTATAAACAAATACATAGAAATGTCATTTAGTGCTAGCTGGTAGATATCTGCATTCTGTATTATGAAGTAATGTATAAAATAATTAAAAAATCATATACTTTGAAGCAGACTCATACATGTAGTTTGGCATCAATTGTGACACAGGTGAGAGAACAAGGCTATCAGTCCCTGATTTAAGTAAGACTCTGCTCAACTATAGAAAATACAGGTGGTAGGTAAAATTGTAACCCTTCTAATATGCCTATGTTTTAACCTCAGAATCTGTGACTA